AAAAAAAAAAAAAAGAAAAAGAAAAAGAAAAAGAAAAAGATGCTGGTGAACTGGCTGGGCGTGGTGGCTCAGGCCTGTAATCCCAGCATTTTGGGAGGCCAAGGCGGGCAGATCGCCTGAGGTCAAGAGTTCGAGACCAGCCTGACCAAAATGGGGAAACCCCCGTCTCTACTAAAAATACAAAATTAGCCGGGCGTGTTGGCGCATGCCTGTAATCCAAGCTACTGCCTGTAATCCCAGCTACTCGGGAGGCTGAGGCAGGAGAATCGCTTGACCCTGGGAAGTGGAGGTTGCAGTAAGCCGAGATCGCGCCATTGCACTCCAGCCTGGGCAACAAGAGCGAAACTCCATCTCAAAAAAAAACAAAAAAAAAAACACAAAACAACAACAACCAAAAAAACAGCTGGCGAATTGTTGTTTGCAGGGGAACAGGCCAAGCAAAATGCACAGCGACCTGCAGGAGGCCAAGCAAAATGCACAGTGACCTACAGGAAGAAACCTGACTGGGAGTTCCTCAGACTCACAGGAAGTGAGTTGTGGGTCTGATTCCTCTGCCTCCTTAGCTGTTTCCAGAGCCTCAGCCTGGAAATCTCCGTCTCCTCCTTGTGGGCGCTAAGTACAATGGATCCGGGGCCAAGCTGAAGTCCCGAGTTAAATCCAAGACCTGAGGGTACTCCCAATCCCTGAGTGAGGTGCTGCGCTGGGTTGCCGGGCAACTAACTGCTACAGCTGGGGCAGAAGGTGGGTGGGATGCTGAGAAAAAAATACCAGGATCGAGGACAAGAAAAACAGAGTGGGAGGGGCTTTTCAAGGATCTACGCTTCAGAATTTACACCATCCTTCCAAACCGTAGCTGCGTTTCCGGGAACTGAGTTGTGTTTACCTTGGCTTCTGACTATGTTGGCAACAGGTTTCCTGCAAGGAACAGGCGCGGCTCCACACCATCGTCCCTCCTCCCCAACCCTGCCTTTCAATAGCCATTTTCCTGAAGCCGGAGGCATCCCAGATTAAGGGCAAGGTACGGGCCCTTTAAACTTGACCTACGGAGGCGGACTGAGCTAAAACTGACGTGCAACTGGAATGTGAGCTGTATCAGACACGTGGTACAAGGAGGCATTCATCTTGGAACCGGGCAACTGGCATTTCCGCTCTGGGTAGTACATCTTTAAAATAATGTTAGGGAAGTATCCGTTCTTGGCTGCTTTTCTTTAATTGCGTTTCCAATACTCTCTCGGTGATTCTACTCTCGAACATAGGATAAAATTTAGAATCACACTTCTTTTTCACCTCCACCCCCACCTCTAGTGCCCATATTAAAAATGGCGGCTGCCGCCTTCCGCAGTAATAGTTGTGCAGCGAACAAAATCCGGGCGGAAACAGTAGGTAGGCTGGTTCAGCGGGGGCAGAACCTAGGTTGCCTTAGAGAGGTTCTTCGAGGTCCCGAGGGCAGCTCAAGTCAGAGTTGTTGGGTTCTGCTCAGATTGGTGTGGGAAGAGCCTGCCTGTGGGGAGCGGCCACTCCATACTGCTGAGGCCTCAGGACTGCTGCTCAGCTTGCCAGTTACCTGAAGAGGCGGCGGAGCCGGGCCCCTGACCGGTCACCATGTGGGCCTTCTCGGAATTGCCCATGCCACTGCTGGTCAATTTGATCGTCTCGCTGCTGGGATTTGTGGCCACAGTCACCCTCATCCCAGCCTTCCGGGGCCACTTCATTGCTGCGCGCCTCTGTGGTCAGGACCTCAACAAAACCAGCCGACAACAGATGTGAGCAGCGGCACACGGTTCCGGGCAGGGGGCAAGGGCTAAGGAAGGAGTGGCTAGGGCAGGGGCGGGGACCGGGGTGCTTGACCACACGTGAAAACTCAGAACTAACCCAGGCAGCCTGGAACTCGGAGAGGTGATGAGCAGAACTTATTCGCATTGGGGAAAGGATGGGTAGGGAACCTTGGGTATATCAGGGACTCTAGCAGTGGTGCTTTCCTCCCTCCGCCCCCCTCACCACTTCCCAAAATAAAAAACCAGGAATGAGAAGACCGCTTTGGGTTATTGTAACACCTGCACTAGTGAGTGACCACGCCCCCTTTCCTCTTCCCCCTCGCCCCCTTGCTGCTGGGCCACAGCCCAGAATCCCAGGGAGTGATCAGCGGTGCTGTTTTCCTTATCATCCTCTTCTGCTTCATCCCTTTCCCCTTCCTGAACTGCTTTGTGAAGGAGCAGTGTAAGGCATTCCCCCACCATGAAGTAAGTGGGTTTGTGGGGGTGGTTGCCTGTGGCTGGGACCTGGGAGGTACCTGAGAGAATTGGTGCTATTTGGGCTTGTGGGGAGGGGCTAAGAAATGATAAGAAAAGACAAGAATTCTTAAAAGGTGAAATGGGAGCAGGCTTGAATCATGGACCTGCCCTAGCCTCCCCCAGTTTGTGGCCCTGATAGGTGCCCTCCTTGCCATCTGCTGCATGATCTTCCTGGGCTTTGCGGATGATGTACTGAATCTGCGCTGGCGCCATAAGCTGCTGCTACCCACAGCTGCCTCACTACCTCTCCTCATGGTCTATTTCACCAACTTTGGCAACACGACCATTGTGGTGCCGAAGCCCTTCCGCCCGATTCTTGGCCTGCATCTGGACTTGGGTAGGTAGTCCTGCCACTGCTGCTCCTATGGCACCTACTTCAGGGCACCCTTCCTGGTGCTTCACATTCTCCTTCAAGTGTTCCTTTTCTGTCTCTGTGTCTTCCCAGATCCTTTCTGGTAGCCCTTCATCGTATCCTCTGTCCTCACCACTTTTCTAAATCCTCCTCCCCTAGGTGGCACTACTTTTCCTACCATCTCTCCCTTCAGGAATCCTGTACTATGTCTACATGGGGCTGCTGGCAGTGTTCTGTACCAATGCCATCAATATCCTAGCAGGAATTAATGGCCTAGAGGCTGGCCAGTCACTAGTCATTTCTGCTTCCATCATTGTCTTCAACCTGGTAGAGTTGGAAGGTAGGTGGGATTGGGGGTGGGGAGAGAGAAGTCTGAATGTTAAAGGTGTGGCCTGATATATGACTTTGGGAAATTCAGGGAAAAAAATCAATATGCGTAGTAATTATAGAAGATAAGGGAGGCTACTTCCTTTGCAAATAATGCAGATTTATTGAAAGTGAGAAAGAAAAATAGCAGCCCTGTCATTTATAGCTGGATTGGCACTAACAGCTAGGCCATGATCTTCTCCCATTGAATATAAACAATTTCACAGAACCTCAACGTTACACAGGGTCATTCTGTGACCATGATGGAGGAAGACCAAAACTAGACCTCTCCCTCTATAATCCTGTTTGAGCACAGATAAAACCACAAAAACACTGAGCAACCCACAAAATGGCCAAGATCCTCTCTCTCGGTTAACATGAGCCATGAGCGACTGCTGCTGTTTTCCAATAACAACTCAGTTCCTACCACCTTTTTTTTTTTTTTTTTTTTTTTTTTTGAGACAGGGTCTCCCTCTGTCACCCAGGCTGGAGAGCAGTGGCACGATCTTAGCTCACTGCATCCTCTGACTCAAACGATCCTCCTGCCCCAGCCTCCCAGGTAGCTAGGGCTACAGGCATGCGCCACCACACCTGGCAAATTTTTGTATTTTTTGTAGAGACAGGGTTTCACCACGTTGCCTAGGCTGGTCTTGAACTCCTGGGCCGAAGTGATTTGTCAGCCTTGGCCTCCCAAAGTGCTGGGATTACACTCTTGAGCCACTGTGGCTAGCCAGTTCCTACCACTTCTTAGATAAACATTAAAATGCTTGATCATAGAATTATTGTTGTTTTCTTTTTTTTTTTTTTTTTTTTTTTTTTTGAGACGGAGTTTCACTCTTGCCCAGGCTGGAGTGCAATGGTGCGATCTCGGCTCACTGCAACCTCCGCCTCCCAGGTTCAAGCAATTCTCCTGCCTCAGGCTCCCTAGTAGCTGGGATTACAGGCATGTGCCATCACGCCCAGCTAGTTTTGTATTTTTAGTAGAGATGGGGTTTCTCCATGTTGGTTAAGCTGGTCTCAAACTCCAGACCTCAGGTGATCCTGCCTTGGCCTCCCAAAGTGCTGGGATTACAGGTGTGAGCCACCGCACCCGGCCATGAATTATACCTGCTTTCTAACAGCACCCAATCCAGAGCAAAACTCTTACTTTCTTTTACCCTCTCCCAAAATACCCAAAACTACAAGCCCCTCCTAACACTCTCTTACTGAGACATTCCATGGTTCCCAATGGTGTGTGATTTCTGAAGTCTCCCTTTTTACAACAAGTCATTAAACCTAGCTTCGAACTATAGATGTGTTTCTAGTGGTCTTTGGCTGATGGACATCAACAAATGTTTATTAAAGCTAAGTACTTTTTAAACAGGATCTTATTTAAATCTTGTAATGGTTTTATGTGGCATATGTTATAATCAGCCCTGTTTTACAGATGAGTAAACAGATTTAGAGAAGTTAAATGTGTCATGATCAAGATCAAGGTCACAAAGCTAAGAAGTAAAGTTGGTGTCCAAACTGACATCAGAATGGGCTAAACCAAATTTAAGACAGTAACTAGTTTGGAAGGCTGCATGAAAGAGGTGGAATATTGGGAATTGCCTTGGGTGACATAAAAGGGGTATTGAGTTCTTGAAAGTGACTTGGGTGAGGTGGATGATACAGCTGTAAACAGAACTTAGACAAAAATAGGACCAAGGTATGCAGAAGAAGTGGGTATTAATTTTCCCTTCTTTCTTCCTTGCTTCCAAAGGTGATTGTCGGGATGATCATGTCTTTTCCCTCTACTTCATGATACCCTTTTTTTTCACCACTTTGGGATTGCTGTACCACAACTGGTAAGTAGGCCTATGGATAAGGGGAAAAGGGGAAAACTACCCGAACACATGGCAAAGATGGCCCTTATCATAACCCACCTTGTGGTGGAGAGGTTAAACCTGTGCATACTTCTATGGAATTTTCTGTGTCTTCAGTTGGTCATATTCTGAAATTTCTCTCTACCCAACAGTAGTTGGGGATGAGTGCGTGGAGGTCCCAGGAACAGATGAATTCAGGGCCTTGGATCCTGCAGAGTTGCTGCACAACTGGAGTCTCCTCTAAGTCAGAACTAGGGTCAGGGCTAGTCCAGTGCCCATAGGGTGTGATGTGAGAGAAAGGATTGGTAATGCCTCTTGCCACTGGCTCGGATCCTCTCCCCCACACAGGTACCCATCACGGGTGTTTGTGGGAGATACCTTCTGTTACTTTGCTGGCATGACCTTTGCCGTGGTGGGCATCTTGGGACACTTCAGCAAGACCATGCTACTATTCTTCATGCCCCAGGTGTTCAACTTCCTCTACTCACTGCCTCAGCTCCTGCATATCATCCCCTGCCCTCGCCACCGCATACCCAGGTAGCCGCTTTGGGGCTTGAAATGGACATCATAGCCTTTTCACTTGGGATATCTAATGCCAGCCTTTACATTGCTGTGCAAAGGGAGTGGGCCCAAAGAAGGGCTATTTCCATGTGAGTAACCCTTTATAACTTCCAAAGCACATTTATTTGCATCATCTGATACTCACAGTGGTTCTGATAACAGCAAGCAGCAGAGCCAGAAATAGATCTCAGGTTGACTCCACATTCAATGCTCTTCCTGTTGATTAGCCACAGGGAGGAGGGTTCAAATAGTGGCCCAGTCACATGAAGCTGTCTTCCCCCCGCAGACTCAATATCAAGACAGGCAAACTGGAGATGAGCTATTCCAAGTTCAAGACCAAGAGCCTCTCTTTCTTGGGCACCTTTATTTTAAAGGTAACAGGGTAACAAGGAGGTAAGGCCCTAGGCTGCCATCCTGACCTTGAGGAATGGGGAACCTAGGCCTACATCAGATCCAAGGGGAACTTGGAAGCATTAAATAGATCCACATTCCTAAAGCATAGGTATTAGCTGAGGTTCTCTTCACCTCTGGTCCCTCCAGGTGGCAGAGAGCCTCCGGCTGGTGACAATACACCAAAGTGATACTGAGGATGGTGAATTCACTGAATGTAACAACATGACCCTCATCAACTTGCTACTTAAAATCTTTGGGCCCATACATGAGAGAAACCTCACATTGCTCCTGCTGCTGCTGCAGGTGAGGATGGGGATTGGGTTTATACCTCCTTGTCTCCCTTTCTCCGTGATTCTTACTCCAGTCCATTTCTCCTTGCAGATCCTGGGCAGTGCCTTCACCTTCTCCATTCGATATCAGCTTGTTCGACTATTCTATGATGTCTGAGTCCCTTGATCATTGTCCTTTACCTCACAGTCTCTAGGATTCCTGACTCAGGCTGACCTCTCTCTGGTCCCAGACTGCCTCCTTGCCCAGGCCTCTCTCACTCTTCATACTCTTCCAGATTTTGTTCTCAGCATTTTCTTTTCCCTGTGATCACTGGCATCCTGGGCGTTTCTTGCCCCCTACTGTCTACTGATTGGATTTTACTTATGACTTTCTGCAACTTGCTACTCTCCCTCTCCATCCTGTCTTTGCAGCCTCACAGGGTGGGATACAGCAGTTTTTTTGCAGTTATCCACAGTCACATTTCAGAGTCCTGACTCTCAGGAACTACTGGTTTTTGGGATAGAACTTGGGCCAGGGCTAGGGACACAGGCTCCACAGTGACCTGTTATTTGATTGTAAATTAAGTGTTCTGATTAGTAAGAAGTAAGCAGGGGGCCACATGCTCTCAATGGAGACAATAAAGTGTTGTCTATTTCTTATTGTTCCTGTAGGTATATTTCCTATATGGGCATTTTTGGGTGGATTGGGAGGGTAGGTGGGGGTACTTCCTCCAACAGGATGCCTATCTCTCTGCCCCACCAGACCCCGTCTAACAAGAAGTGAACAGAACTGAAACCAAACAGAACATATTGAATAAACATTTAAATCCTGATACTTCAGGTGGCATGGAGGGCCACAAAATTGAAGTTATCCTATTTCCTGGCATGGGGTCAAACTTTCAGAGACACCGGGTACAGTGGCTCATGCCTGTAATCCCAGCACTTTAGGAGGCCGAGGCAGGAGGATTGCCTGAGCCCAGGAATTCAAGACAGCCTGGGCAACAAAACGAGACTCCGTCTCTACAAAAATAAATAATTAGCCCACTGTGGTGGAGCATTTGTAGTACCATCTACTCGGGAGGTTGAGCAGGAAGGATCCCTTGAGCCCAGGAGTCCGAGGCTTGCAGTGAGCTGAGATCACACCACTGCACTCCAGCCTGGGTGACAGCAAGCAAGACCCGGTCTATTAAAAACAAGAAAGAAAAGAAAGAAAGAAAAAGAAAACTTTAAGGGGTCTAATTTCTTCCCTTTTCCACTCTCCCTTTGTCAGGTAGGAGAAGGGAGTGTGGAGTGACCGGACCTGGAAAGGGTAGGTATAGTATTAGTATAGCTTTAAACATCCTACGCCAGCACAGATTTCCCAGACGCTCTCTAGGTGGCCTCAGACTCCACCCCTTTTGTCTTCCGGTTCTGCCTTCCGACTCTAGTGTTTAAATCTCGCGCGCTTTACAAGGATTGGCTACATCAGCGGGTGTTTGGCCGTCTGCGTGCTACCCCGCCTCCTCGCCTTTTCTCCCCGGGCAAAAGGTTTTCAAACTCGACCAATCAGCGGGCGCGCTCCCTCAGCCGAGGCGCGACACCCAAGGGTTAACCGCAACCAACCGGAGGCGGGTATTGGAGAAAAGAGCCAATCAGGAGGGCGCAGAGGTGTGTCCTGGGGGCTTATAAAGGCGGCCTCACGGCGCGCGCGCGGCAGCAGTTACACTGCGGCGGGCTTCTGTTTGGGTGTCTGAACCGTTGTACTTCACCGGTCTACCTCGTTATCATGTCGGGCCGCGGTAAGACTGGCGGCAAGGCCCGCGCCAAGGCCAAGTCGCGCTCGTCGCGCGCCGGCCTCCAGTTCCCAGTGGGCCGTGTACACCGGCTGCTGCGGAAGGGCCACTACGCCGAGCGCGTTGGCGCCGGCGCGCCCGTGTACCTGGCGGCAGTGCTGGAGTACCTCACCGCTGAGATCCTGGAGCTGGCGGGCAATGCGGCCCGCGACAACAAGAAGACGCGAATCATCCCCCGCCACCTGCAGCTGGCCATCCGCAACGACGAGGAGCTCAACAAGCTGCTGGGCGGCGTGACGATCGCCCAGGGAGGCGTCCTGCCCAACATCCAGGCCGTGCTGTTGCCCAAGAAGACCAGCGCCACCGTGGGGCCGAAGGCGCCCTCGGGCGGCAAGAAGGCCACCCAGGCCTCCCAGGAGTACTAAGAGGGCCCGCGCCGCGGCCGGCCGCCAGGCCTCCCCATGCCACCACAAAGGCCCTTTTAAGGGCCACCACCGCCCTCATGGAAAGAGCTGAGCCACTTCAGACTGCGGGGCAAGCGGGCCGCGGCTCCCGGCTCCTTTCCCCTCCCAGCGCCCGCCTTTGCCGCCCGGCCTCGAGTCCCCGCCCGCCCCCCTCCTGGCCTGCACCGCCTGCCGCGTCGGCCTCGGGCCCTGCCCCATCCGCCGGCCGCCCTCCGGTAGGGCTCGGGCCCTCTGGACGCGGCTTGGGCACTCTTCGGGGACCACCGTGGCGCGGAGGACCCGAGCCTGCCGGGGGGAGGCCGGCGGCGCCGCACCTGCCCGCCTCGGCGCTCGTGACTCAGCCAGCTGCCCCATCCTGAGTCGCTAAGGGGCTGCGGGGAGGCCGCAGCACCTTCTGGAAGACTTGGCCTTCCGCTCTGACGCAGGGCCGAGGTGGGCAGTCCAGGCCGAGAGGCCGGCGGCCCTGAAGGTGAGTGAGGCCCGCGGCAGCTGCAGCCAGGGTGTCCGGTACTCCCCCGGCGTGGTGCTTAGCCCAGGACTTTCAGACGGGGCCGCTGGCCTGGAGGTTTTGGTGGGAGAGACACGATCGCTGGTTTCGGTCTGGCGCCCCCTCTGCGGCCAGGACCCAGGCCTTTCACATCAGATCTCCCTCCATCTTCATTCATAGGTCTGCGCTGAGGCCGGGACGAAGCACTTGGTAACAGGCACATCTTCCTCCCGAGTGACTGCCTCCTACGAGGACATTTAGGGGAGGGCAGAGGCCTGCAGTTTGGCTTCACGGCTGGCTATGTGGACAGCAAGAGTCGTTTTCGCGGAAGCCGACTGGCAGCCAAGCCTGTCGGGCCTCCCCATTTCCCTTCCAGCAAACTCAACTCGGCAATCCAAGCACCTAGATACCAGCACAAGTCGGTTAATCCCTGTCTGGACTGAGCCTCCGTTGGCTTCCGAACTGGAATTTTGCAGCTAACCCTTCCAAGACTAGAACCTTAGGCATTGGGGAGTTTTAGATGAACTAATTTTATTAAAGGATTGTTTTTCTAAAAATGGAGCCTTTGTTTTCATTTTGCAAGAGAGTTGTAGGATTAGTGACTTTCTATACTTTCCTGATAGTGGGGGTGGGAGGGGCATGCAATATAAATAGGCTCTACTGTTAACCGAAGAAGGGGCAAACCATAGGAATTTAAGATTATGGCTCTGTTTCTTGGTGTTCCTGGGAGACAATTTATTCTGTGTGAAATGAAAACTATTGAGGCAGAAGCAGAAAGGATGTACCAGGAGAACTTTGGGCAAAAGTCCCAGCCTCCGAGGTAAGGATGAAAGGGCTTTGTGTTTGTTCATATCTTCCCGCCAACCCCCCCCCACCCACACACAAAAACACCTTCAGAGCTGGTTTATTAGTAGAGTTGGTTACATTCAAAGGCTGTGGCTTGGACTTCTCTAAAGAGATGAAGCCCCCACATACTGAGGAGGCAAGGCAGTCATCAAGGCCCCAAACTGAGGCAAATCCCCGGAAGGCTTGAACCCTGCAGTTCAGTCTTCTGAGGTAATCACTCCCCAGACAGCAGTGAGAATGGGGCACTGAGGGCCGGGATGTAGGCACTGGACAGCAGCAACCGAGGCATCTGTGCCCCACAGACCAGTTAATGGGCATCGTTAAGCTGCCGTGCAACATCCAGGATGTTTTTGGCTCCTTTGCTCAGCAACAAGTTGGCCAGGCTGATGCCCAAGTTCTGGGCAGCCAACTGGGGCCCTCGTGGAATGTTACGAGCAGTGATGCCTACCAGCTGTGGGTCATCCTCAGGGCCATCTTCATGCTGTATGCGGGAAGGAGGTGGGAATTGGTGAGAACAAATGAGATTATATGCACTCTTGTTTATTACCCCCTCACCCTCCAGCTTTGGTACCTGGGCAGGGACATGGATGGTAGCCTGCATGGTGTCTTGTATGCTATCTGAGCCATCTAGACTCCAGACTCCTCCAGTCAGGTACAGCTGGGGAAGAAAACAGTTGCCTCAGCACAGTCTGAGAGCGGACTGCTTAGAAACCTGGGATGCACAGGAAGAAATGCCACAGTCCTCCCTTCCCTGGCTTCCCACCTATTTCCCCCCACTTACTTGCCCATCCTTCATAGCTGTATGCACGGCTACTGGCACGCTGCAGCCTCCTTCCTGTAATGAGAAGTTCTTGTGAGCTCCAAGGGTTCTTAACACCATCCTGTGACCACAGACCTGGTCCTCTCCATACACAACATTCAACAAGAATGAGTTAGCACTATATACAGAGCATTCATGTGAGAAATCGTCCCCACCACCTTTCCCAGCTCTCCAAGTCCCCAGCCCTCCACAGGTGGAGCACAGGCCCTACCAGGTGCCTCAGGAAGGCCCTTTCAGCGATGCAGCGAAGCAGAGTCTCGGGATCGTGCAGCACACCCACCAGATCCAAGATGTCCTGGTCCTTGGCTCGGACTTCCACACCCAAGGCCCCCTGATGGAAAAACAGCCTAGGACATCAGGCCTGCTCTTTCCCCAACCAATGGCGCAAAGCATAGGACCATCTCTATCTACTTGCTCCCCAGGGCCTTTTGGACCAGTAGCATCCCAAGGCCTGCCCCTCCCTGAGAATGCTATTCTGGGGTAGCAGATGCAGAAGGTTGTGAGACCAGCTTCTTGGTTGAGAACAAAGAGAAGGGATATGTCACCATGTGGCTTCCCTGGTCAAGTATACCTGGCCCACAGCATACATGCATTCCTCAGGGTGCAGGATCTGTGGAGGCAGAACAGGTAGTCAAAAGGGTGGACACAGGGATGTCTGAAAACACTTGGCAGTGAGATGATTCCTATCATCGAGAAAGCCTGGGTAGGCCTAAGTGCAAGTCTGGCCTCTTTTTTTTTTGGTAAATTTTCTCCATGAAGGCCTAGAGTCTGGCCTCTGATTCACAATCTTCCCAGCCTGTGGTGTTAGAGGTGGGGTGGTCAAGAAGTGAAGACAGATGGTCCTTGACTTACAATGGGGTTACATCCTAATAAACCCATTGCTAAGTTGAAAACACAAGCTGAAAATGCATTTAATATACCTAGCCTACCTTACATGTGCTCAGAACACTTAACATTAACCTATTATAGTTGGACAAAATCATCTAACACCAAGCCTATTTTACAATAAAGTGCTAAATATCTCATGTAATGAATACTGTACTGAAAGTAAAAAACAGAATGGCTGTATGGGTACTAAGTACAGTTTCTACTGAACGTATATCACTTTCACACAATCATAAAGTCTAAAAATCCTAAATTGGGGATGACTATAAGGCAGAAAGGAGATGCAGATGAACTGGGGATAGGATAGGGGCAGCCCCTACCTGCCCCACCCGGTTATGCCAGCCCATGCGCTGCAGGCCAGCTGTTGCCAGGATGATGGCACTGAACTCCTGCTGCTCGTCCAGCTTCCGAAGCCGGGTGTTGAGGTTTCCCCGCTGTGGAGAGTTGCTAAGGACCACAGTGTTGGGCAATCTGGGGCCTCATGAGATTCCCTCTGCCTGAGTCTGTCTTTCCTTCTCTAGCTGGCTGACTTTCACTCATCTTCCAGCTCTCAGCTTAATGGTAAGAGCTAACACTTACATCATACTTACTACATGCCAGACACTGCTCTAAAAGTACTTTCCATATGTCAGATCATTTCATCTTCACAACAACCCTGTGAGGAAGGTAGTAGTATTATCCCCACTTTACAGATAAGGAAAATGACATAGGGAGGCTAAATGACTTGCCAAGGTTACAAGACCTCTAACAAACCTTCCCTGAACCCCCAGACTTCTGTGTTTAGATGTTCCAACTAGAAGTTTCCAGAAAATTCCCAACTTCACTTATTGGAGCACTTCGCACATACTATTTTTAAATTTAGTTTTATGAAATGTACTACATATTCATTGTAAAAGTCAAAACAATATAGTAGCATATAAAAATGGAAGTACTGGCCAGGCGTGGTGGCTCAAGCCTGTAATACCAGCCCTTTGGGAGGCCAAGGCCGGTGGATCACCTGAGGTCAGGAGTTTGAGACCAGCCTGACCAACATGGTGAAACCCCATCTCTACTAAAAATACAAAAATTAGCCGGGCGTGGTGGCAGGCACCTGTAATCCCCACTACTTGGGAGGCTGAGGTAGAAGGATTGCTTGAACTCAGGAGGCAGAGGTTGCAGTGAGCCTAGATTGCACCACTGCACTCCAGCTTGGGCAACAGAGTGAGACCCTGTCTCAAAAAATAAAAATAAAAAATAAGGAAGTACTCCCTATCCCTCCAGAAGTAGTCACTGTTCAGTATAACTGCATTATCCCTAAGTAAAAAGTAAACTCTACATATGCAGGGGAATGTTTATCTTGCTCACCATTTTCCCCAATGCCTTGCACTCCAAACACTTGTCTGGGACTAAGAAAACATTAGACTATAAATGAGTGGACAGATGAGTGGATAGAAGGACAGACAGGCCACTAACCCCACGGGCTGCTTGCTGGAAGCCCCTTCCACTCTCAGGACTCCCAGAGCCCTCTAGACCTTGCCTTTTTCCTTGGCTGCTGCCCCCGTCACACTTTTAAAAGGATACAATACTCCTGAACTCCAGATGTGAGAACTTTCTCTGCAGCTGGGCCGCTCTCCGCAGGGAGCTGGTTCCCACCACACTGCCCAGAGAGTGGTTACAATGAGATTTTAACTCTAGGCAGTCACTGTTCCTTTCCTCCTCCTCCCATCCCTGCATCTTCTGGGCACATCCCACCAAGCTGCCTATCCAGGCCCCACTTACCTCTTCTCTGGCAAGGTTTCTAGGGTCTTCCCAACAAATTTTGGGTGAAAGACAACAGCATCATGGGGGTTTTCCCGCCTGGAGGAGGAGGGAAGGGCATAGAATGAAGGAAGAAATTTAAGTTCAGATCACCACCAACTCACTGGTACTTCCTGAGTTTTCTGCCACCAGTCAACACTCCTCAGGGCAGAGGAGATAACCCTGGAGCAGAGGGTCAGATCCCAAAGGGAAAGGCAAAGTTTTACCTGATGCCTACCCCTGCCCAAGCCCCTTACTTGCAAAACTCTTACTTGCAGATGGCTCCGATGGTGAAGCCAGGAGGAAGCACTGTGGGCAGGTCCTTCAAGGAGTGAACAACCAGGTCCACTCTACAGAGATGGGAGATGGGGGCGAAGAGAAAGGGAATGAGCAGCCAGCCTTCACCCCTTCTCCACCCACCCCTGCCTCCACTTCAGTGGTGGAGCCTAGGGCAGTTCAGGAAGCACGTCTTCCCAAAATCTCAGGAGCATGAAACCTGCCCTCCTCTCACTCTCCCTCCTACCCTCCCTCCCCCAGCCATTCTTGCAGTCCAGGCAGCTAGCTGGCTCAGAACCAGACTCTCTCCTTTTCTGAAGCCTGAAAAAACCCACCTATGCGCCGCCTTCAGCCTCTCTGAGGGTTTAAGCCCAGCAGCCTATCTGACACCCGGGGTCCCAGCAAGAGACCTAGCATACTAGGTTCCCAGCAAGAGACTGGGGGGGCACCACACTCTCCTATCTTTACTTACTCATTCTTCTCCAGGGCATGTTCAAGCTCCTTGGTAAACAGGCTCTTCTCTCCAATCTGCCGGACAAGAAAGAGCCTGAGTGAATCCCTTCAGGGAAGGAAAGAAGAGTGGGGACAAGAACTGGGGAAGAAGATGTTGTTACCTTAGAGAGTGCAGTATCAAGAATCTTGTCCCCTGTGGTGGACATAGCAACTGAGGAGAGAGTCAATCAATCAGGCGCTCATTATTGATCAGCATTTACTGAGCCCAGCACTGTGCTACGATTCATGATGAGGACAGAGGCACATAATCCCTGGTCCCTGCCCTCTGAGTATATACGATCGAGCAGGAAGACCAGAAACACTCCTAAAAAGACCCAAAGCTTAAGATGTTAAATGCCAGGCTAACCCAGGTAGTCAGAGCTGGAGGTATTCAGAGGAAAGCACCTTCGGAACTGGGAGCAGCCCAGAGGGATTCTCAGGGCAGCGAGACAGGCTTTAGCT